GCTGCTGTGAGAAAAGGCTATAAACGATCGGCCACCTGCAGGATCCTCACATGCGATAGCCTAGTAGCCGGGACAACTTCTTTATGTTTACAGACGTGACGTAATGACGCGGCAGCATGCTCGAATTTCCCGCAAAAATCTACCCGTACCACTCAAATTAGAAAACATTATTATAAGATAACCGTTGTGAATCGGGCTAAAGTAAGGCGATAGTTTTGAACACTGGCTGGTTATGTATTGATTTCGGATCATTTTTAACCAAACAAAGTTACGGACGGCAGCTTTAATTGTGCATGCTTATTTTCACATATTTTTACATTTAGATTACCTTTGCCATCATACAACACTCAATTAAATTTAATCATTAAAACATGAATAATAACACTGTTAAATGTAATCTTTAAAAAAATATCCAGTTTTAAAAATGCACTTTATAATGTTGTGATGTGGTGCCTAAATGCAGTTTTTTAGCATTTAATTAATTAATTAAAAAATTTTTTTTATACAAAATAGTATAGTAATTTACTATCACCCACTTATGTGATGAAAATAAAGAAAATAATTATCGATTTATTTTTAATGCGTGACTAATATAAATTTTATTTTTCTTGTTTAATTCACTTGATGGGGAGATTTTTGTATTTATATTTATTTATGTTTTTATTTATTTTGTGTGTACAGGTGGAATACCTCCATTTTATATGGAATTTATCTATAGCTTATCTATAGAGGAAATTGGTGGCTTTTTTTAAATGTGTCATACTGGATATCATTAACATTAATTTATATTATATTATATTATATTATAACAAATTGAATTTATTTTTTTACATAATCTAATGTTGAAATTCCCATGTAGTATTACTTCAGGTTCATTAATCACTCTTGAACTTCAGGTATTCCATGCATATTGAAAATTGGCATACTGTGCACATTTTGTATACTGCATACTTTAGAATTAGTATGAAAAGCATATTAGTATCCAATTCTGAATACGTGTATAACCCTGAAGTGTAATTTTTTTGTTTGCTGGTTCATTCATTCCATTATCTAGAATTTTTTGCAAAAATGGACTTGAATCCATCTAATGCTAAATGAATAATGCAGACCTGAAATCGAATTACCTTTGATCAATTATTAAAAGCACATGTGTTAGACTCCAGTCGATTAGAGATTGAGACAGAGGGAAAAAATAAGGAATTATACGGTTTAATATACTGTTTGAGACTCTCCCAGAGAGTCTGGCTCCCAGTTAAGGACATTATTAGCTGTCTATCTGAATTAGAGCCTCCGTTCTAGACCACTATGGTCTATCTTGCGATCTGTACTGTAGAGTATAATGTGCACTATGATGTGCCCCACCCCCTCAGAAGTCTGTTGGTTCACTGCAGTGATGCCAGTTTGAGCGTGAGGTAAAACAACACACAACAGGCTGATGTTGTCTAGGGCTGAATGGGAATGCAGGCAGAGATCCACGCATGCTTATCTCTCTCTCTCTCTCCAACCCCCGTTTCACTGACACACTGAAGCTGTCAGTACAGTACAAGCTGTTCTCTTCACATACACACACACACACTGCAGTTGTCTCACAGTCAGGGCATTTGCCAGGCACAAACACACACCAACTGCAAAGGATGAGCAAAACCTTGCCTGTGGCATGAGACCTTTGGACACCATCAAAAATCAAATGAATATTGTAAGGGACATCGGGGCTAGTTGTCACATGGGCTATATTTCTTTAACTGTTAAGTCCAAAATCTAATTACACAAATGTGTTCAAAAACGCTTTAAATCAGAATAAATGTCTAATTTTTATCAGGTTAAGTTTTCACATTTTAGGTCTTGTGAAAAAGCAAAAAGAAAAAGCTCTAAAACAAATTGGTTTTTTCTTTTACTTTGAATTTTGCAGTTTTTATATTGTGTTTTATATTTGTTATACCATTCAGAATACAAGCAAAAGTAATATAATAGTCTGTTTTTTGGCAGGTTCCATTATGACAACTTGCCTCATATATTGTGAAAACATGCCCTGTAATAACGGTGAAAATTTTCAAAAAAAAAATTTTTTGTAGTCAATACAGAAATGAACCAACCCTGAGAAATGTTCGTTAGAAAAAAGTAAAAAGTCTGACAACTAGACCAAGTCACATGTTAGTTTGACAATAAATAACTCTCTAAAGAGCATATTTGATGCACCATATTTTGTGCCATAAAATTGAATATAGACAGCATTGTCTGTAGTTTATGTAAATAACATGTCTGGGTGACATAGAGAACCATTGGTTGAGTGTTTATCCCGCTAGATGGCGCGCTGTCCTTCTGTTAACCGCAGGAAACCTCCTCGCATACCCTCACGTACTCATTGACCCCAAAAGCATGTGGTCGGTTTGAAGCAGCGGATTGTTGACAGATAAGAGGCCTTCACTGTAGTTATATTTCTCCAGGATATGAATAACTGAATACTCTGAAAATAAAAGAAAAACAACTTGCACACTCGAATTGATCACAATTCGTTTTTTTAAAACGATTAGCAACTTTAAAAGTCCTATGTATTTAATGACCCAAAATCTAAAAAATACATCTAGTTGGGAATCACTGCTCATGCTATGCAGTGAGGTGAAGGAACACTTGCCTTGGTTTCCTCTGAGCTGAATGAGGTCATCTGTTGCCATGTGTCTGGAGACGGTTAGTGCCATGAGGCCCCATATACACATTTACCACTCCTTTACACAAATGCACACATTCACACAATAAGGCATCTCCCTCTGACTCATTTCCCCTGATTCTATTCTTACCCGCTTTCTCTCTCTCTCTCTCCATCCCTAAAGAACCGGTTGGCCTCTGCCATTTAGGGCAGATCAGTCCAAGCCCACCACTGCATGTGGTTTAGGCCCTAATCTGCTCCTCCCAAACCCCTACCTCCCTTCTTCCACTTCCCGACGGAGAGTCTGTCTCTGTGTGGCTGTCTTGGTGGGTGATACCCCCTCCCCCCCGGATCTTCCGCTCGGGTCTGCCAGGGAGTGCCCGTCTGCCCAGTGTGTGTGTTCAGGTGCCAGCGGTTTCCCGAGAACACTGAGACTCTTGTGTGTGTGTGTGTGTG